TATTTTATCAGTATAAAGCAGGTTTTTTATGTCTAAATAAACTCAAAATGTGATTATGCACCTTTTACAAGTATAAATATAAGGCAAGGCACGATAAAGGAAAGCCAAACTAATAAGGGAGCCAAACACAGACCATCTCATCTATTTATACTTAATTATTTATCAGAAATGTTATTTTAAGTAATAAATGTTTTTCATCCATGTTTACTGCTCTAATCTGTCTTCACTCCAAACAAACGGCAAACAGACAGGCTGTTAAAGATTTCACATGCTTGTTACATCACTTCCTGTCTAACCTCCGCTGCCTCCTCCTCCTCCCCCCACACAGAGAGGGACCACCATTCGTCCTTTCATCTTTAAACGCTGCTAGGAAAGCAGAGAGGAATTGTGGGAAAGGGAGAAATATCTGTGAGGGATTGCTTGTGTTTGCGTGTTCAGACCTCTCCCTGCGTTCCTCTCCTCCAGGCGTCGGAGAAGATGGAGCTGACCACACTCTGGGAGCGGGTGTGTCCTGACGAAGCCAGCTCCGAGACGCCGCTGTCTGATTGGCTGGAGTGGTTGGACTGGGACTCTGCAAGGTTCAGGAGAGGTTTTTAGGCAGCAGCAGTTTCATACGGATCACCGGCTAATCGTGGTTTATTGTGATTGGAAGGATCTGAAAAGAGGGGGAAGGACAGACCTGGAAGGCTGGAAGAGCTGGATCCAGACTTGATGGAGGAAGAGGAGAGGGAGGACCAATCATAGGCTGCCTCGGTTCTCCTCATGGCTTCCTGGAAGTTGATGTACAGCTGCTTCCCGTACTGACAACACAGAAAAGGTCACAGTGATGAAAAGCACGATAAATCTGACCGGGATTTGTTATAATTTTTAATGTGACGTTTATAGCGAGAAGAAAAGTTCTGATTAAGTGAAACGGGCCTCTTAAAAAAACAGACAGAGTTCTTGTTTTATTTAGCTTTAGGATTTAAAATGAATCTGTTGCTAGGCAGCAGATGGACGGCCGTCCAGCTGGTCGTCAGGCCCAGCCTGTAAAATAACTCGCAGTATTTATCTTTTAACAAAAGCATTCATGTTTATTACTACAATAGAAGTATAAATCATACTGTTTAAAAATACTTTTTTAAAATCTAGAGGATCAACTTCAGCTTTTTACTCCAGTAAAAGTGTAAAAGCACCATTTTTAAAACTACTTAAAGTATAAAAGTAAAAATAATGCAGGGAAAATGTTAGGGACAGAAATTTTACTGCTCTACCCTATTAAAGAAACATTTTTCTATAATTTTGGATGATAACTTCCTTAGATTTCATTTTCTTGGTTTTATAACTAATGGTACAGTGTGACATTTAACTTTGCATCATCTTGAAAAACTATTTATTTTAATATATGATGAACAACAAGTTGGCGCAGCACCGAGTCCAACCACAAAATAATTTTATTCTCTAGATGAAACCAATTGTTTTGATATTTTGAGCTGAAATGAAATAAAACAAATGAGTCAATGTTGAAAATCGAAGTAAAAAGTTCTCCAAAAAAATAATTACTCCAGCATAGATGTCCAAGATTTCTAGTTAAGGTAAAGTAACAAAGTATTTTACTTTGTTCCTGGACACCTCTGTCTTTAAACTGATCGGCCGCGGTTCCTCAGACCGGACGGTACCTTTGCGATGCGGATACTGTTGATCCATTGCTGGAGGGTTCTGATGTCATCGCAGCACAGGTACTTTATATACTGAGACTTCTTCTGGATCTGTGGGTGCTAAACACACAGTGTTACGAATCAATGACCACTTTATTAACTTGCACCCATTGGTGTAATAGCAGCATCTGGACACTAGGTGGCAGCAGAAGACAGTTTTACCTTTAGCACCATGCAGTAGTCTGTAGGAGCCTTGTACTTGCTCTTGTAGTCATGACCAAGATAAACGTTGACGTGATCCAGCTGGAGGAAACAAACCAGGTCCCTGGAAGTCTGGAAAAAATGAAATTAAAATAATAATCCAGGGAGGAGATGGTTTACACTCGCCTCCCTTTGTCCACCATCACCCACCTTGGCCTTGCCCTTTGGGACGTAGTAGATCCCAGATGCCCTGAGCAGGAAGTAGCGTTTCTTCCATGACTTTTTTCCGTCCTCCTTCAGCCACAACACTCCCTCCATCTCAGGGACGGACACCGAACTGCCTCCAAAACACTCCTGAAGCGCAAACGGATTGATTTCACCTTGTTTCCACCTGTTTCTGGGTCAAAATGGCAGCACTGACTCACCTCTAACAGAGCTTCTTTGTTTCTTTCTGCCATCTCACACGTCTCCTTCCGCCCCAGTAAGTAGTTCTGCAGCAGGTGGGGCAGCAGGTGAGAAACCAGGAGCAGATCTTTGGTGTAGATGAACTGTGAGCGTGTCGCTTACCTGCGGGTTTTTGAACAGGGCGTACTTCTCGATGCGCTCGGTGAACATGAGGCGGTTCTGGCTGTCTCTGGTCCAGTTCAGCAGGTTCTCCACCAGGTTCTCATGATCCTCGAAGATCCGTTCTGCAGTCAGGGAGACATGTTTGACTGATGAGATCAAGAATGGATGCCTAAAAACCTCAGATCCTTTCATAGCATCAGGCTAAGTTTTCCACCACTTAGTGGGCTTTTTCATCAAAGGGCAACAAAATAGGAACTTTGTCTCTTTAAAGCAAACTGACTCCACCAATAAATAAGCATAAAATCAGTCAGTGATGGCGGGAAGACCATTTCATTTATTATAAACTTAAGGTCAAGCTCTGGCCTTTATCTCATGTATTACTCTGTGCTTCTGGTCGCTATCTTTGCAAACTCTGGTTGACATAGTTACAGGTTGTGGGGGTGTGGCTTTTGGGAGGGCGGGGCGTGGAAAGCCGAAACAGCTTGTCCAGAAGACGTCTAAATGAGGAGGTTTCTGGTTCCTGTTTGCTGAATCTAAGATGAATTTTCCTGCGTAAAAGGCAACGAACATTCAGTGGACGTGTTATTAGTTGTTTTAAAATGTAGCATAATATTAGCCTCATGAGACCATCCTGATCTCGCGAGCTTTCAAGGTTTCACTCGCAGATCAGTCTGGCTACTTTCCGTTAAAGAAAATTTGGAGCCGTTCACCAAACGAACGTCCAATCAGCGTTGGCTTTGAGGCAGGTTGAGGTGTGACGCAAAGAGAAGCGCGACAGTTCAGTCTAAAGAACATGGCGGCTTCAGCCGATGAAACTAGCGTTAGCATGGCTATCGAGCAAGTTTTATCGGAATTACAGAGTATTTCTTCACTGAAAGAAGAGTAAAACACTGATGGGAGGCTTTTCTCAGAGGAAAAGATGTTTTTGCTCTTCTCCCGACTGGTTTCGGCAAGAGTTTGATCTATCAATTGGCTCCTCTTCGTCGTCGCTCTGTTAGTACGTCATATGCTTCGTTGATCTGATTGGTTTATTTGGCCCGTCTATCACCAACATAGGCCAATCAGCTAACCAGTATTTTCGCTCCTTCCCAAAATTACCTCTACGGAAGGTTTCCAGATGGATATGCGGAGCAAATCCATCTGGCGGAGTCAGGTTAGCATAATATGAGACCTTTAACAAAAACACATTAGTTGATTACATGTATCGTGCTTAGGGCTGCAACTAACGATTATTTGGCAAATCGATTAATCTTTTTTACGAAATTAAATCAGGTGAAAATTTTCCACGTTGAGGAGGTCTGGATAGAGCATACTGACAGACGAAAACTTGTTTATCTTAAATTTGAAATATATATATTTTTATGTTGGTGTAATTACTGGTCTAAGTGGGTCGCTCTGTCAGCTAAAGGCATATTTTACAATCTTTAAACTCCAGGTAACGAATAATCGATTACCAAATTAGTTGATGATTATTTCAATAATCTTCTAATCCTGATTAATCCGATTTATTGCTTTAGCCATAATCCTCTGTGACACATGCAAACTTCTTCACCTTTATATGTTTTGGAATTTACAATGAAGAGCTACATTTGTTTTTTGTAGATCTGTTAAAAGGTTGCAGGCCAGATTTGATCCACGCTGTTCGTCATTCAGCTTAGCAGGCACTCGGTCAGTATCATCAGCATACATGCAGAAACAATGTTCATCAATATAACAGCTCCTTACAGAAACCTCATAGTGCTGACAGCTGACTCCATCATGTCCTGCTGTATGACAACAGGAGTCCCACATTTAAACATTTGCTTCAAATAAAGTCATTTAAATCAAGTTTTAGGCACTAAACCAAAAAAAGCGACCTTTTAATAAGATAACAAAAGGCAATAAAAAAAGGGTCTGAACCATTTTCTCCATAGGTCATAGTGAAACATGATGGTTTGTGTGGGTGGGCACTAGAGCATCAACTAATGATTATTTTGGTAATCGATTAATCTGTTGATTCAAAAAAGTTAACAAGCAATCCACTGGACTTTGTTTCCATTCAGGAAACTTTTTCAATTCAAAATGTCAGAAATAGCGTTGAGTTTGAAGCTTTATAGAGTGGAACAAAAACTGTCCTTCTATACCTTATGGACAAAGGACTTTCTTTGAGGACCAGAACGTTAGCGATAGAGTTGATTCCTGAAACGGACTTAAAAACCTTTGAATGAAGTTGACCAAACAAATCTGAAAGGGTAGAAATTGACCCATATTCCCAATTTTCTTTAACACGGAAAACAGTAAAGATTCAAACATTTAATCTGAACATTGATCGTTAAAAAGAAGAGAATTGCTGCTGTTAACTCCAGCTGAAGATCCCAGTTTAAGGCTGTGGTCCTAAACACCTGCTGCTGGTGCGTCTGCCTTTGTTCTGTAGCTCAGATAGCACTAATTCCCCTGATTACGTCAGAGTGGGTTTAAACCCTGCTAAGGCTGAACTGGCCTGCAGCCCAGTTTTTAAAAACCCCTGCAGAGAAAGGAGAAGGAGGAAGGGGTTTGCTCTGACTGCTCTCCCTCCTGGACTGATGTTGTTTAGCAGGAGGCTACAGGATGTAGGTTAGATCACATGCATGGCTGCCTCAGACCTATAGCATCACTATGTGTGTTAAGCCTGTAGCGAACACCCAGCCCTTTAGCAAAGCGCATCTCTGGCAGAATGACTGAGTCACTGCAGGACCGTCTAACTATGGAGTGACTGGACTGTTTGATGCACAGTTTACCTCAGCAGCATGGAGGCGGTGATGTTGTCTTACCTTTAAACAAGTCAAGTCTGAAGATTTTTTTTTCATGATGCAGCCATATTTTACAGAGCGTATGTTTGTTAATGAATGAAAGGAATAAAATCTGTAAACAGTTCTGTATCGGGACGCGCTGCTTTGCTTCACCTTCCTTCACTGCCAAAAATTGAAATCTTAATAAGTAATTTTTTCTTAAAATGAGTGCATTTTCTTTTTTTCAGGAAGAGAGGGGGACACTGCTAATGGAACAAGACAATTTTGCATTTGAAGTACTTATTTCAAGTGCAGATTATCTAATTATCTGATTTTAACAGTTACAAATAGCCATTCATTGGTAAATCATCTTTTTTACCTGCTCAAATTGAGGGTAAATACATTTAATTAAATGTATTTACTTCACTTCTTTCTAGATCGTTTTTGCAGTGTTTGAATGTTTCTTTTCTATGTCGACTCATTTGGTGGTCCAAGTTTCATGATCATTACAAGGGGTGAGTACTGGCATGGGTGCTGCGAAG